AGGGGTTGAGCTGAGACCTGTTCTTCCTCATCCAAACCCCCACAGCCTCCAGACACCAAGACAGAACCTCCACAGGATCACTTGGTCAGCCCAGGGCGAATATGTAAACCTGGGTTTCATTAGCATACTGAAAATACCTCATCCTATGCCACTGGATGTCCTGACCCAGCAGCTTCACATAGATGTTTAACAGGGGTGGGAAAGGTTTTGAGCCCTGAGGCACCCTGCAAAGCAGGAGTTGTGGGCTAGACCTCTCCTTCCCATCAACATCACCTGGAACCAGGAAGGAAGTGAACCAGTGCAACATAATGCTGCCCACTCCCAATCCTCAAAGCCAGCCCAGAAGGATACCATGATCAATGGCATCAAAAGCCACTGATAGATCAAGGAGAGGAAAAAGAATGCTCCACTCCTGCAAGTGAAATCAATGCTGTTTCAGTCCTGTCCCCAGGTCTGAAATCCAACTGAAAATGTTCTAGATAATCTGCTTCCTCCAGAATTATCTGAAGCTGCCATGTGACCACCTTCTCAACAACCTTCTCTAAAAATGGAAGGTTGGAAACTGGACAAAAATTGTCCAGTACTGTTGCGTCTAGTGATGACTTCTTGAAGAGGGGCACACTATCCCCTCTCTCAAGGAAGAATTCACCGCTGTTAGAACCCAACTGCATGTCACCTCCCAGAAAGCCTTCATCAGCCAGGAGGGACATGGATCTATTATTTATTTATTTATTTATTTATTTAGTCCCTGCCCATCTTCCCCCAATGGGGGACTCTGGGCAGCTCACAATTCATTAAAAACAATAAATAAATATACAATGAAAAGCCTATATACACAGTTATAAAAGATGAAGGAAAAAGTCCAGGAGGCTGATGGTTCAGGGCAGCAATGCCAGGCCTCTAAGGGGCTAGCCAACCCCACACTTGATGACTTCCCTCCCCACCCGAGGCCAGATGGCAGAGCCAGGTCTTCAGTAAAAGATGAAGGAAAAAGTCCAGGAGGCTGATGGGTCAGGGCAGCAATGCCAGGCCTCTAAGGGGCTAGCCAACCCCACACTTGATGACTTCCCTCCCCACCCGAGGCCAGATGGCAGAGCCAGGTCTTCAGATCCCTCCAAAAGGCCAGGAGTGAGGGAGCCAATCTCACCTCCAGGGGCAAGATATTCCAAAGGGTGGGGGCTACAGCAGAGAAGGCCTGCCTTCTGGACCCTGCTAATCAGAGTTCTTTTGCCGAGGGGGTCCAGAGGATGCCTCTCTGTGTGATTGGGTGGGATGGGTTGAAGTCGTGGGGAAGAGACGGTCCCTCAAGTAACCTGGTCCCATGCCATGTAGGGCTTTAAAGGCAATAATCGACGCCTTGAATTGGACCCAGAAGCAAGCCGGTACCCAATGCAGCTCAAGGAGCAACAGTGTTATGTGGGTCCTTCTTTGGGCCGCAAAAATAGCTCGTGTGGCTGCATTCTGGACCAGCTAAAGCTTCCGGATACTCTTCAAGGGTAGCCCCATGTAGAGCACATTGCAGTAGTCTCTCTGGGAGATAACAAGGGCATGAGTGACCAATTGAAGGGCATTCTGATCCAGGAAAGGGCGTAACTGG